AAGATCTCTAAACTTTAAAAAAATCTCTAAGCTTTGGAAGATCTTGAAATTCTCTGGACTTTCGTGAAGGTTTCAGTATTTTTTTAAGCTTGTTCAATTTTTCTTAGTTCATGGAACTGTCTTGATGTTCTTTGATCTTGCTGGAAGTTCCTTAAATTTTTCTGAAGTTTCCAAAAGATCTATGCTCACAGAACTTGATTTAAAACCATTAAACTTCCATAAACATCACTCAACTTACCTGAAATTTCTCCAATTTTCTTAATGTTCATCGATCTTTCCTGGACATCTCACAATTTTTCTGGAATTCTCGAAACATCCTGAAGTAGTCAGAAAATCACTGCAATTTTTTTTTAGTCGAGCTGATAAAATTTTTTCTTAGGTTCTTTGATCTTCCCTGGTGTTCTCAAAACTTGTCGGTAGTCCTTGAGATTCTTCTGAAGCATATGCATATTTCAAAAGATGCAGATTAATATTTCAAGATCTTTCTTCCAAAGCACCTTAAAGAAAAGAAGAGATAAACTAGCCTAAAACTAAAAATCTCTTAAATAAAGTTTAAAAACAAAACTTAAAGAAAAGAGTTTTGAACGTCTTTTTCAGATGGACCCACTGTGCAGCGTGTGATAACTCCATAGAATTGTTTTATTTTGGCTGACACATACGAACGTCAATTTTAACATAAAATTGAGTCATAAAAGACGCGAAATTCAGCTCAATCAAACGTACTTTTCGTCGAGTAACAAACTTTTCAGTCTCGGTGCACTTAATTTTACATGACATGTTTGTTTACGTCTCATCCTTTATGTCAAGGATGGATTCCGTCACGTGTAAAATTAGGTATTTCTAAGTGTGTAGAACCTGCTAATTTTTGCATTGAAAGAGTCGCAATCACCGATTTTCTGATCGCTTTTCGCTAAGAATGAAGAAAAAAGAATTGATGAGAGAAAATGATATTGTGACTCTCATAAAGCGAAATTGGTAGGTTGAATGTGATAATATTCGATGAATGTAGAAAACCATGCGTGAATTACAAAAATGTTGATGAAGAAATAAGAAACTTTGAATGAGTATTTAATTAAAAACGTCATAAGTAATATAAAAAAAAAACACAATATTGAATTTGTGATGACTTTTAGCAAATACATCTAATAAGTGATTATTTGAGTGCCTTTTCAATATGGCGAAAAAACTCTATACGACATCAATAGACGTCTGTAGCATTAATACTCAGTACGGAAAACAAATCAAGGAAAAAAAGCAAACATTTGTTTATATGAAATTAATGAAACTAACCCTGTTTATACCCTGGGTCCGGCGTAGACAAACCACATTTATCCTTCTCGTGTCTTTAGGAAGTGCTGTCAGCCTTCGAATGTATACTTCCCAAGTAACGTTGCAAGTTATATATAGTTTTTAAAGCATTCTTAAAGTCTAAATATCGGTTTACAAGGCTCTCATAAAACTAGAAATATTAGTGTTTTTTTTTTGTTTATTAATTTATTTGATAAGGCTCAATATAATAAGCTTTACAGAGCCGAGGGATCTTGTTCATTATACAAAACATCTTAAAACTATAGTCAAAAGTTACAACACAATAAACACTTTATCTTCCGCTTTCCAAAAAGCCTTCTCCATCAAAACGGGAGCAGCTTCCAGTGGTCTAATTGTATGGCAGTATCACCAACGGGGAGCAGAGTGCTGCCATTGCAGCAATGAACGCAAAATGTGGTGAGCACGCACACACTCATCACTGAACGGTTGCTTTCAAAAGTCAACGACGCATTGACCGAAAGAACTGCTGATGAAGAACAATGAGGAGGACCAAACAATGGTTGCTGCCAAGCAAACAGACGATCGGGTGACACAAGTCAAGAGTAGCCTGCTTCTGTCGACAGCCGAGAAAACACTCATTACTTAGGTAATAGCGAATTTGTTTTTTATCCATGCTGAAACCAGTTCCAACCCAGTGAGAAACCAAACTTTTTGTCAGTGCGAACCTCAACCTGAGAAAGGTTTTAAAAACGAATGATCAAACTGACGTTAGTCCAAAAACAGACACCATCAATCTTAATACCCGATCTAGGTTGGAACTGAATCAAAAACAAATTCGGTATAAATAAGACGAGAGGCAGCAAAACACTCGCAAAAGAAACGCATAGCCTAAAACGAATAAAAAGAAGAAGAAATCGTCAGACGAGTACGGTCTAATTCCGTATAGATAAAACAAATATTGCAACAATTTATCTCAATTTGCACTACCGGTAAACTTCTCTATCTCTCTCTCAACCGTGCTTGTCTGTAGGTACACCGTCCATTCGAATGACCATCGGCCTATTATTTAAAAGGATGAAACGATTTCATCATCCACATCGCTTCATCCTCTACACAGATAACGAATATTTATCTTATCCAAACATTGCTTTGGTTTTCCTCGGATTTCATGCTCGTAAAAGGGCACAATCGTTTCATTCAACAGACAAATGGGAAACGATTCAATCATATTTCTAGGAGGGAACGTGGTTAGAATACACGGAGAGAAAAAAACAGTTTCCCCGTTTAGTTTTATTCCCTGTCCATTTTTGTGTGGTAATTCTTTTCAATTCGAATTCGCAATATTGATACATATGATCATTAATTTACTGACTTATTATTGGTTACATGCAGTAAGCAAATTAAGTATATCGAAGTACTCATTTGAGAATTTGTGTAATGCTTAGGTAGTGAATTCATCTACAAACAAACTATCAGTGCATTCAATCAAAATCCGGTGAACAATCGAGTGCAAACATTTGGCACACATCACTAGTCGTAGGCCGATGATAGACTGTAAATGCAAGAGGCTGAGAAGGATGGGAAGATGAACATTCCAGATACGATGCAATCTTATGTAGGAGGATCGGTCAGATACTCCCGTCGTTATTGATGGGGTATCATCGTTCGGACAAATAAGCATCCCAAGCAGCGATACGGGATTTAATTTAGCTCATAGCATGCAAATATTTGCATTTCTTCCTTTCTGGAGAATAATCTACGTCTCACAGCAAGTGGGCGCTCATTGGGAAATGGGTCTATTTGTGATGCAGGTTGAAGATTTCGTTTCATTCGGTGAATGAATATGATGTTTCGATTTGGCTTTGCAATGAACTTGTTTTTGAGATCTTCAAAATATCCTAACAAATATTCAACAAAACTTTGGATCAAAAGGGGCTTCTGATAGGCTAGTCAGTATTTTAGATTTTAGATTTTAGATTTTAGATTTTAGATTTTAGATTTTAGATTTTAGATTTTAGATTTTAGATTTTAGATTTTAGTTTTTAGATTTTAGATTTTAGATTTAAGATTTTAGATTTTAGATTTTAGATTTTAGATTTTAGATTTTCGATTTTAGATTTTAGATTTTAGATTTTAGTTTTTAGATTTTAGATTTTAGATTTTAGATTTTAGATTTTAGATTTTAGATTTTATATTTAGATTTTAGATTTTATATTTAGATTTTAGATTTTAGATTTTAGATTTTAGATTTTAGATTTTAGATTTTAGATTTTAGATTTTAGATTTTAGATTTTAGATTTTAGATCTTAGATTTTAGATTTTAGATTTTAAATTTTAGATTTTAGATTTTAGATTTTAGATTTTAGATTTTAGATTTTAGATTTTAGATTTTAGATTTTAGATTTTAGATTTTAGATTTTAGATTTTAGATTTTAGATTTTAGATTTTAGATTTTAGATTTTAGATTTTAGATTTTAGATTTTAGATTTTAGATTTTAGATTTTAGATTTTAGATTTTAGATTTTAGATTTTAGATTTTAGATTTTAGATTTTAGATTTTAGATTTTAGATTTTAGATTTATTTCATCAACCGACGTTGACTAGTACACAAACATATACAGCTTGTTTTTCTTTAATCCGGAATTATTTAAGATTTTGGCGTAACAATTATTGTAAACATTGACGTTAATCACTGATTACAGGTGAATAAAAGCTAGATTTCGCAAAAAAAAACTCTACCAACTGCTAGGGAAATTACTCCCCTACCTGATAGGTTTGTTAGCTTGTGAGATTAAGCTTTCATTTGCGAGAAAACTGTGATTGAAGTATTTATAAAAAAATTGTAACGCCCAAATCTAAATCAATCCGGAAACACACATAAAACAATTTTTTGAAAAAATTAAAAAGAACACTTTTGTATTAATAATATGGAGCTAGAGACGGTCCAACCTAGAACATCTTTCGTGTTGAAAATTTTCTCGACTACCCATACATAATAGTATAAGGGTTGTTTACCAGTAAATTCTTAGCAATTCGTTTTTTTTATTTTAAAATCAAATCTTAAAAGTCTGCAACATTCAAATGTTGTTGAGGGTAAGTTCTTATTCTGATTTGTCTTAATTACGTTCCTGCTTTAGTGGGACTTGACGCCAGCTCTCAACTTATTGTTTTTTGAGCACATCCAGAGTTGTTAATTGAGTATGACGAATAGTAATCACGGTTGACCCGGTGCATCCCGAATATTTCTGTTATAATGAACAGGTCTAATAATCATGTATCAATTTCCTCATATTTTGAGGAGAACAAACCGAGTTGAAAGGAATATTTTAAATTTAAAATCCAGCAATTTTAATAAACCACATACCTATGGTTTGGCAAAACTATTTCAATTTTATAAGGTCCTTTGAACTTTTGGCGATTCTCCAGTTTTCAAGACTACGAAACATAAACGTTAAATATAACAATTATGAATTACTACGGAGACCATGTTTAAATTTACGTGTTATTTTGAGCAAAGTAGACATCAATAATAATCAACTGTTAAAAGTGACCGTATTTCGATACTTTACGGTATCTACCGAATACATCTAGTTCTACAACTATTTCAGGTTGCAATTATTTTATAGCATTTATCCTTGCTAGAGATTCAATCAGTTGATTTCAATTTCAGATAACGACAATTGCAATTTTAATAATCCTCGTTTCGATGTTCTCTCTGTTTCCATTTCCAGATGTCATAATATGGGTTTCACGTGCGAGAAAGCGCATTATCGCACGTCACATTTTGAGCAAAGTTGGATCGAAACAATTGGCTGTGATCAGTTGACTGCACCGGCAACAGCAGCAACGCTTACACCCGCCGGCACTGTCAGTAGTTTCAAAAAGCATCAAAAGCTTCGCCCAAAAGCTTACAATCAAAACAAATCATCACCGGCAAGCCAACATCAAAGTGCCGCTCGATTCCCACCTGCATCGGAGCCACCAAAAGTAGTCAATTCCAGAACCAGCCTTCATTATCCATTCAACCTTTTTCATCCGTTCCACTCATCCTCGTACCAGTACTCGACGATTATTTTAGATAAACTCTCACAATTTATCACTAAACATGTAGCAGCGAGAAGTGGCTCCGTTTGGAACACTGCTCCATTCTGCGCCTCCCCTGTCAGCACATTTGACAAACCGTCGACTGATGCGCTGGCTAGCCTGCATTCCCACGACGCCGGAAGCAGGCAATTTCCAACAGGGCCTCCAGAAGCTTGTGCATCGAATTGCCAACAGCCTTCGCCGTCCCCGTCCTCCTCCTGCTCAAAAACGTCGAGACTAGCTATATCGAGGGCCTCCTCCACACCAGCACCACAACCACAAACGGTGACGCCACCGTCGTCATCATCGTCCTGTGATCCTTTGGTTGCTCCGGTTGAACCGATTGGCAGCACAGCTACCACAACCGGTTGCACCAAAACGTTACCATATTCGTCGTCGTTACCGTCGGAACAAGCATCATCAACAGTATCATTATCGTCATCATCGACCCAGGCCTCGCTGCCGACGCCTTCTTCGTCCGGCCTTCGGTTGCCTTCCACAGGCCCTTCATCGCATCAAGCCTCTTCGATTTCATCGACGACGACGAGGACAACGGCTAGACCTACTAGTAGTCATTATCTTGTAAGACACTCACTTTGTTTATATGCAGCATCTAGCGTTATATTAGCATTATGTTATCTAACAATACCAACAGTTGCCTCAGACACACCACATACTATGTAAGTATACTTGGATAACTCTGATGTTCTATTTTCCCTTTAAAAATCTCATTGATGTGATCAAACTGTGACTCTCACCTTCTGTCTTCTGTCTATCCGTCTAACTGCATCTCTAGATCCCTGCTATTTCCTTTATTGCTCTAAAAACAAATGCAGGCATCTCTAAACTCTAACTGTCTATCCTAATGCTTGCAATAAACTATCGATGTCGTCTGTTTTCCCTGCACATGTTTGTAGAATGAGGTGTTACCGAAAACTATTAAAGAGCAGTTCCACGCAAAAAAGTTTTTTTTTATTCGACCTACTTCGGTTTCCATGAAGTTTAAGTTAATTGTTTGTAATGAGCAATAATTAACATTTGTGCTAAATTTCTAATATGTTGGATCATACAATTTGTATCAAAAAAGGCGAATTGAACATTTGTCAATAAATCGTAGCATGAAATCTTCACTTCTAATCGCCATTTCGATCTGAGAAAAAAAATTAATAAAGTCTTCCTTTGAGAAATATTTACAGCATTTTTTTTTTCAAAATACGTGTTAAACATTTAAATAATTCAAAATGTTTATGTTTCCAATTAAAATTTGTAATAAAGCCCATGAAAAATGTAATTTTCTTGAAATGTTGTTAACCTCGAACTCTTAAGAATTAACACAAATCTGAAAACACGGATTGCTGCGGATTGTTCTTGTAATGTTTGCACAGAAAACGATTTAAATTATCTTAAATATTGTTTTTTATGTATGTGTTTTTCGGAAATTTAGAGTTCTTTGAGTTTGCATTGCGGTGCTTTTTTTTTCCTAGAAAGGATTTGATTTTAACAACAACTTTGTGTCAGATGTCATTTCGATAATAAGTTATGTTTTCATAATACGGTTTCTTAAAAAATTTTAAAATACGCCATTTCGAAAAAAAAAAATAGAGGTGCAAAATGGTCAAATTTTAGCATAAGTGTAAATGATTGCCCATAAGCAACAAGTATGCAAAGTTTCATGCAAATTAGAAAAGATCAAGTCTGATCGCTCCGATATTTGGCGTGGAACTGCTCAGAATTAAGTGCGTTTAGTTTAAGAGCCTTCTAATAATTCTGGTCAGTTTAGCTTAGATCTTGAAACTGTAAATAATCCAAGAGCAGCCGGAAAACTCGAATCAGCAAGTATTCACCAAACAGTAAAGTATATAACACAAAGGTCGAAGGACAAAAGGTCGAAGGACAAAAGGTCGAAGGATAAAAAGTCGATGGTCAAAAAGTCGAGGGTCAAAAGGTCGAAGGACAAAAGGTCGAAGGACAAAAGGTCGAAGGACTAAAGGTCGAAGGATAAAAGGTCGAAGGACAAAAGGTCGAAGGACTAAAGGTCGAAGGACTAAAGGTCGAAGGACTAAAAGTCGAAGGACAAAAGGTCGAAGGACTAAAGGTCGAAGGACAAAAGGTCGAAGGACAAAAGGTCGAAGGATAAAAGGTCGAAGGATAAAAGGTCGAAGGATAAAAGGTCGAAAGACAAAAGGTCGAAGGACAAAAGGTCGAAGGACAAAAGGTCGAAGGACAAAAGGTCGAAGGACAAAAGGTCGAAGGACAAAAGGTCGAAGGACAAAAGGTCGAAGGACAAAAGGCCGAAGGACAAAAGGTTGAAGGACAAAACGTCGAAGGACAAAAGGTCGAAGGACAAAAGGTCGAAGGACAAAAGGTCGAAGGACAAAACGTCGAAGGACAAAAGGTCGAAGGACAGAAGGTCGAAGGACAAAAGGACGAAGGACAAAAGGTCGAAGGACAAAACTTCGAAGGACAAAAGGTCGAAGGACAAAAGGGTCGAAGGACAAAAAGGTCATAGAACAAATGGTCGAAGGACAAATGGTCGAAGTACAAAAGGTTTAAGGACAAAAAGTCGATGGACAAAAATTCGAAGGATACTTAATTTTATTAAGTGGAATTAAATGGAAGGTAACCTTTATTGCTGTTATAATTTTCAGAGCTTTTTGAGTAAAATTTAATGAGACAAAAAATAGTAAAAAGTTTCGAGCACTTTAAGTGAGGATGTTCAGAAGCTTTTATCTGGCAAAGATCTGTTCATGTTACAAATATGGAGTTTACTTCAAGTGAGATAAATAACTATGAAGAATTTTAAGTTTGAGTGTTCAATAGCTTTCATCTGTTAAAAAACTTCTCATGTTATAAAGAAGGAGTCAGAGAATTCACTTTCGAACAATGTTAGTTGGAGAGAGTTAAGAAAGAGACATATCTTTCGATATGTTCAGTTTGGTAACTCAAAGTCTAAGCTTGATTTTCTTAGCATATAAATTTTCTACATTTCCTTTTTTTTTTATTTTCTATCTTCGTCCTTTTGACCTTTTGACCTTTTGACCTTTTGACCTTTTGATTAGACCTGTTGTCATTTTTAATTACATTCGACCTTCTGTTCATTCAACCTTTTGTCCATCCGACTATTTGTCCCTATTTATTTCCTTCGAACTTTTGTCCATTCGGTATTTTGTCCCTTCGCTCTTAGGCTATTCGACATTATGTTCTTGGACCAATTGCCCAACAACCCTTTTGACCTTCAATCTTAGGAGTTTTTCGATCATAGAGAACATTAAGGAACTCCTAAATACTCGACAACTTCCGTACCAGCGAGATGCTCCCGAACTCTTAGTTAAAAAGATTTTCTATGAACTCTGAGAAATCCTGACACTTCAGGGAAAATCAAAACACGCAAATTTTCGATACTTTCAAGATTTTACGGGAATCTCAGGCGTTTCTGTTGAAATTTCCGAAGTTCTCCTGTTACCGTCAGTTTGTCAAGTTCTTACAGATAACCGGAACTCTAGCACCTCATAAAGCAAATATATCTTCTGTCCCGGGTCACAGGTTCTGGAGGAACCGATTTTTTTAAAATTATTGTCACTTTAACACTCTTGGGTCATCCTTGACTTGTTCGGGGACGATATTTGATCATGACTATAGGCATGAGAGGTATGGATGATAATCACTAGGCCGGGCTGTCCTCCGGAGGTACAGAAGTACTCTCGCTGTTTCAGGAGTTATTGAAGTTCAAAAAGCTCCCGGAGTTCCTGGAATCTTGGTACTCATTCCCCGCAGCTCTGGGAATTTCTGGATCAGTGATAGTTCATATAGTTCCATTAAGCCTAATAATAATAAAGATAATTCCGAATTTATCTACGGCTTCTGGTACTCTCAATAATCCCAAGCTGTGAAAACTTTCAAGACTCCATTGATCACAGGAAATTTTAAAATTCAAATTCTCCCAGAATTTCAAAAATATCAATAACTTCAAAAACTCCTCGTATGCATTTGCGTAGCTAATGGGGATGCCTGGGGAGTCTGATCCCCTCCAGAATGATCCAGACCTCCTTCAGATTTTTTTTGTGATTCTAACACAGAATTTTTTAATTATATTAATCTTTAAAACAAAATCGATTCAACTATTTTGGAACATAAAGGACCAAATGAAATCTTGGAACCTCAGGAAATCCTAAAAACACCAGCAACCTGTAGAACTCATGGAAACTTTAAGATATTATAGCACTATGACTTCTAGAACCACAAGAACTAGTGTAATAACTGTACATAACTCTGTGGATGTGATATGAATTCTGAAGCGCTCTGACTCGCGGTTGCATCTAGACTAACTTTATTACGTATATCTTAATCTACCCTGAGGCCTCGCTTTGCATGTGGGGACTACGTGACCCTTTTTGCTGGATCAGCATAAGTCGCGATCGTTCCTTTGTTATACTTTGGACCGGACGCGGCTCATGCTGTTTGTTTTTGATACTTTGAAAAGAGTGCGCTTTATGCTGATCGTTTTGTTTAAGGGCCGCATCCACTACACTAGAGTTATGATCCCAAGTAACAATTTTGGTTTTATGATTGTTCAATAGACCATGATTCAGACTTGTATAATGCTTAAAGGTGAAAAAGGCAACATTAATTTTCAAAATTTCACAAGAAGAAAAGGTCATAACCAAAATTACGTTAATGAAAATGTGTTCATTGCATTCAACTTGCCTGTCAGCACTCAATGAATTTCGCTTTTAAATGAAAAAATCCGCTTTTGAATTTCCAAAAATTAGAGACACCTCCTTTCCTCTTAATATCTTCATAAAACTTGCAATGTAACATCGAATTTTACGATCTTCTGGAACTGAAGAGACCCTTAAAACTCTAGGAGCTCTAGAAAATATTTCAGGCACTTTCTATACCGGTAATTCAGAATTTTCTATCTCTAGGAACCAAGATGATTAAATACTCTCAGAACTTTGATTTTGTCTGATATTCGAGAACTTTAAAAATAACTGTTCAAACAGATTCAACACTGGGAGTTTTTACAACACTATCTTCCTTCCTGAGCTCCAGCAACAGGTACGACAGCTTCTGAAACTCGAGAACCCCTGTCACACATTTAGCTTTAAATGTTGTGAAAAGATGCCATTGTAAGACTCCTCTTTATTTGAAAAATATCCTGATAACAAGCCCAATTCAACAAAATGAATTTAAGCATGAAGATAAATTATTTTTAAAATAGTTTTTGGAACACCTCAGTACTACATCGTGTGCAGCGTATCTTTCAATTTACCACTATAACGAAACCTTTATTTTCCTATTTCCCTAAATGTGTTTTGCATAATCTCTACCTGCTGCTTCACATTTCTTTCTCACAACAACCTTACCACCAGGAATATGTATCTCTATACATATCAAAACAATATCCTTTCTCTATCAAGTCCACTTCCCAACAAGACACAACAGTTTGCACTCAGAGTACACTTCAAAACAATACAAACACCTGCACAAAACAGTATTTTCTATACGAGTACTCCATTTTCCTGTTTACTCCAGCCTCCGTACTCTCCCATTCAAGCGTCAGTTCAACAAAAATTATAACATCCCCATAGTCACTTTTATCAAGATCCTCTGAAGATAAAATGTGCAGCTACATAAGCCTCTCCTATAGTACAGATTGCATTTCGAGATTACCGTGCAACAGGGAATGCAATCTGCACATATTTATAGTAGATGCCAGAATTCAAGAGATTTTCTAATGAAGTAAATTTTTCAACCCTTGCTTACAGGCGAGGAAAAACTCGGTAAATAACATGCAAAAGTAACTGCTAGAAAAGTTGCGTCAAAGTACATTTCATCAATTCGTTACTGTGCTTTACTTTTGAACACCCAAACCGCCACTCTGATTAATTGCTTAATCAACTACTAACGACTGGCACAGGGCTCATATTGACCCCAATCAAGTGTTGTCTTTGGGTGAAGAAAAAAAGCAAAGCACATTGCCTCGAAAAAAAAACTCAAGCGCTAATACAAGTTAGGCAACCCTTCCATACGTTGTGCTCATTTCATTGCATGTCCACTTTATGATGACTTATGTTAGCAATATCTATAAATGTACAGTATTATGTTTTACCATTCCATAGAGCTTTTCATGCTTCGTTACGTGCTTTGACTGTAGTAAAACCAAAAAAAAACAAGCTGATAGTGCAACTATACGAAAACAAAAAGATACAATCTTAACTAATTCATTCTCTCCATCTCGCCCCGGCCAACGACGTGATTTTATGACCCAACTTACGGTTGGTGGTGCTGATGCTGCTGTTGCTGAAACCGATCAACAATATTGATGACGATGGCGTTGATGATAATGATGATGATGTGCCGTTCAGTTTTGCCGAAGGAAAGTCAGACAAAGAAATTTTAGATCACCTATTAAAAGGCTCACGATATGACAAAAGGTTGCTACCACCGGTTGATGGTAAGTGTCGTCCCTTCCTCCTATAACTGTGTCCTTGTTTTTTCTCTTGTATCATCCCGCTAGCTACTAACTGCTATAACACTTTGTGGTTGCTGTTTCACGTATTGTGCCACTCTGCTAAACAAGACGAAATCATTCACGCTAAATCACACATAAACACACACACACACACATACACAGAGTTATATCCTTTGTTGTGCTCCCATTTTGGTTTTATTTGTGCTTTAATCCATTTTATTTTCGTTTATAGGGTAGGTGTACCAGTTATGGCATGTACAAAATGGTACCAGTTATGGCATTACTTCATTTAGGCCATAACTGGTACATGTTTAAAGTAGTGCCATAGTTGGTACACCTCTCCTAGTGCCTGGTTGATCCTTATGAATATTAGAGTGGGTAAAGTTTGTACAGTGAGTCACAACAATCGACATTTCCTAACAGCTCTTTCGATTTGTATTGGAACACAAAAACAACTGCGCCAAATTTGATAGAATGTGGCCGCGATCTGGATTTTATGGAAAATTTTACAATTAGTATGGAAAAATGTACGGGAAACGTAAAAAAATATCCATTTACTTGTTAAAATCTCTTGGACAAAGTTATTCACAATAGTGTGTCCTATCTTAAACTAACATGTGGGCAATTTTGAGCAATTTGTGAATTTCTAGCAAAAATTAATATTTTTGTTCCTTTTTCTCGTACATTTTCCATCGCTAACTTAAATAAACAAGATTAAGATAGCATAGAAATTATTTCAAATTTAGTACAGTGTTTGAGAACCTTAACAAATTAAAAGAGCAGTGGAAAGCTGGGGATTGTTCTGTTGACACTCCTCCTAATGAACATAACTCGAAAATATAGTGCTGTTAAAATGCTTATTGCTATGTTTCGCTTGAATATCGTACAAAAAAATTTAATTTAATTTTCAGTTTTGTACAAACCAAATTGGACGACTAAATAGCCTTTTATGTAGTTAAACATTATATTCTTAAATTGTATAATTTGAAGTTGAACTGTGGAAGGTTATCCACTAGAAATGATTTAAGCTCTAGGGAAGGGTAGCCAACCATGCAACGCAAAGTGCAGAAAAGTTGGATAATAGTTTATATGAGGACCAATTATAGTATTTTGATTATTTAATATTGTTTGCCTATTTCTACATATTTCAACTATACAAATCCAAATATCAAGTGTGTAGAGTTGAAATCATGCATGTATGCATTTTAGAACGTTTTCCTTCGAAATTAACGAATACAGTGAAGGCATCATATTTTAGGCAGTTAAGGAACTATCAAATTCAATGTAAATTTAAAAAATCAACACGCAAAAAATTTCTTTAAAATTTTATTTGCCTCTTTTTGAAACAACTAAGAATAGTTGAAACATATAGAACTTGATGAAATTATTAAAAAGTGTTGGTAAAAATAAGAAGTGAATCGAAAAGTAGTTAAAAAGTTTAAATGAAAAACGAGACATTGGAAAAAATACAAAACAGTACATTTAATTTTAGCTTAACATGTTGACAAAAGTGCCAAACGGGAAAAATAAGCATATTTTTGATTTCTGTAGAATGCCCGTTCCATAGACTTGACACTGTCCATCAAGTTCTGCACAGTGACCTTTCTGTACCTAGACGTTGCTGACCAATTTTTCATTTTCTTTTTCGACGAACTTGAAATTGTTTTCCAAAAACCACTATAGAGTAGATTTGGCGTAATACACCGACGCCAAATCTGGCCATAAGAAAGGAGGGAACTCGTGGTTTCTATACAGTGGAAGCAATCTCTTATTCAAGCATTCGTCCTGATCAGCGAATCCAAACACAAAAAGAAACCAACGATACAGACAAAACGGTTGCTACGACTACCATGACAAACTCGCTCTGTAACATAGCTCGATCGGAGTGGTAGAACGATAATGATATCTAGACTAACATTTGAAAAGGGTGTAATTCCAAAATGACCATATCGAGAAAATCGCTTCCGAATTTTGATGACCTAAAAATTAATCCTATTTCACGACTTTACATTTTCTGGATGATTTTATAAGCTTGACCTATAGTTAATAGTGTAATCTATCATCATGCATCACTAAAAACTCAAAAAAAGTTCTGGTAAAGCGTAACAACCAGACGCAGCATTGAGTTGAAATTTGAAAATACGCCATGTAAGAAGAAACGTTTTTGATGATTTGAAGTGATATTTTCTTCTACTTTTTCGTATTTAACGAGTAGTTTGTGAACTGTTCGCTCTATATGTGGCAAAATATGTTTTTATTTTTTACATTTTGGCTCTTCCCTTGTTTGTCTAGATATATTGCTTGCCTCCTTTGTTGCAATATACACGGATGAGGACATAGCTTGATCTGAATCGGAAAAAGACATAACAAAACAAATCCCATTAACACACGTGTACCATCTTCGGCTTTACTTCGTGAAGCAGCTTGCCAACAATTTGCTCGTTTCCTTCTACCGCCCCGAGTGAGCTGTATCGCAAGGGCTGCTTGTCATGTAAAAAAGGAAGAAAATTATATCATTATTGCTTTCCATTTCCGACATAGCGTTATCATTCGGTTCGTTGATCACTTGTAATTTTGTCATTTGGAGATATTTTTGATTCCTTGATCTTGATATATTTGAGCAGTTTATGTCCCTTTTGTATAAAACATAGATGATCGCAAACCACATGTGCAAATAGCTTGCCAAATGACCAATCGCAACAATCGGGTCTGCAATAGGATTGGGCGATCTTGGATCAATCTTTGGAAGATCGAACTTTTTCATCAAGATTTCCGATTTTTCGGATCGACTCTTTGTCCACGAAAAGCTCGAAAAAATCAATAACTTCTTTCGATCTTTTCGATCTTCAAAAAATTGTGTTAAATTTTGTAATTGTATTTACATCGAAAAAAGGATTTACTCTCACCCTACACACTTAGAAATAACTAATTTTACCAGAGACGTAATCCATATTGGACGTAAATCATGGAACGTAAACAAACATTTCATGTAAAATTAAGTGTTCTCAAACCAAAACATTAGCAAGTTGACGAAGAGAACGTTTGATTGAATTGATTTTTTCGTTTCTTTCAACTGATTCTTATGTCAAAAGGGCCGCTTACATGTGTCGGTCTCAGGGAACCGAAATTTACATGACTTTTTCGTGGTGTGTAGAGTGCGTGGTAAATTGAACGAACATAACGTCAACATCACCATCGCTCCCTACAATGACGTCACTATTTGCGTTGCCGATATTTACAAATACAGCAACATTTGAAGGTTTTCGGTGCCTCCCTCCTGGGCTCATTGCTGCTTACCGTCACGACAACATTAAATTTTAATTGAACATTATAAAGGATAGAATTTCTTGGGGTACCAACGTAAACAAGCCTATAGTCCATTCTATACACAGCAAAAAAATAATTTTGATATCACATCAAAGTACACGCACAGCAATCGTGTCAAAAATATTGTATAATTTACCTGCTAAAAAGGACAAAATTATCATTAAAACTGTGCATGAACTGACATTACGCTGCTTTTATTGCATTTATTTATTTTTATGGCCTGAGATTTTCGACATGATTGAAGTGCATCCTCTTGGATGTAATATTAAAATTAATTTTTTGCTGTGTATGCAAGAGTATTGATGGTTCGAAAGTGAGGATAAAAATAATAAACCAACATTTTAGCTAGAGCTAGAGCGAAAGTGACGATAGCAAACTAAGCACTTGAAAATGGGAATACGTACGAGTTATAACCGCCAGAAAGGTCAATTAAAATAAAAACCATAGGATCGATCTACCAAAGATCTGTTCTTTGGTACCGATTTAATCAGTGGATCGATACATTGCAGACTCTGCAATCGTCACACTCTTTTCAACCGATTTAGTGTAAAACTGAGGCCAAGGGAGTGTTCTTGAATCTTCTTTGACGTATGTTTCGTCGTCCATCAATGTTGGTTCAGCTTGTCGAAAATACAGTTGTATGGTTTTTGAGTTTTAGCACGAGACTTCTGGAGATTACATAGGCACTTTATGCTGACTTTGTAGGATTATTTGAAGTGCTTCACCATTGGCACATCCTTGATTCCGCTGAAGATATTGACATTGTTGTAGAGTACTTCACCAGCGTGTGGAAGAGTTACGTGGTTGATTTTATTCCACTGCGCAGGCCATCTTCGAAACCACCTTGAGGAAATACACATTTACGATGACTCAAACGTCTAATGACATTCACGTTTTTGCGGTGTAGCTACACCGGTGCTACACCGCCGAAATCAGGGTGTAGCTATCGGTTGCGCCTTTGTTTACAAAAAAAATATGATGAGCTGTCAATGACTCGCGCTTATTGCTGCTTACACTACACCGATGCTACACCGCAAAAACGAAAACGACATAAGATCGAAAGCACTCCGAGCCTACTGCCAGTCTCGTTGTCCTTTTGCCAAGCAACATTTCGCACGTGCTAGCAACAATTATCGCACGTATATCTGTTATCTGTACAACCGCTACTGCAAAAAATGCAACGAAGAGTTGATATTCCCTCTTATGACAGTTTTCAATATCACTCCCGGACGCTGGTGTTTAAAAAGGGGATCGACAGAACATCGTGTATTGAGCATGAGTATGAGCATGAGCATGAGCATTGACGACCATACATTTCAGTAGTTGCTACTCCGTGATTGACTAGATTTAGCGAAATTTGCGCAAAGAACCATATGAATGGGGCTTGGGACTAGCAATATCAGTGTACAAAATCCGGAGAATCCATATTTTTGAGGTTAATAAGGGCGCCGTCCACGTCCTTACGGTCATCGGGGAGGGAAAGGATTGTTATTTCAACAACCGTCGCTACTATAGACCGAGTATACCTCTGCATCTCCACGGTTGTCACGGGAAGGACATTTTTGTTAGTGGGAAGGGTAAATTAGATCTGGATTAACATTGGACAGTGATGCGATCTTTTATAACTTGTTAAGCAAATGACGCAACCCTATCTGTTCAGTAATGTAAAGAGGCTTGGGTTTAAAACCACGATCTTCAGCTCAGTAAGCAAAAACGGTCGCTCTAAGGCCACCTTACAATACAACAAGCTACGACCGACGATCGTTCATTATCGGTTACAAGAAGCTATTACAATAAAATGAAATCATCCAAAGTAGTTAACAATGTCTTCCGAACCGATTCAGGCATACGTCACATTCGTCTAAATATACTTATTACTTTTTTGAATCGTTCCTCCATTTTATGTTATAAACGGTTTTCTACAATTGAGGCCTGGATATTAGACTGATGCAAAATTTGACTTTTTCACTCCACAGTGCTTAAATGGTTTCAAATTGGGTCCTGATTAGCCTCCCAAAGATACAACTCATTTGGTTAGAAACAGACTTCGCACAAGCCATTTGAAGTTTGCATGTAAATTACTACGGGAAATCTCAACTTTTTGTTCATTGCCTTCTAGTCTTTTTCCATATTGAGCTGAGAAACAGTTCGATAACCATTCTTATAGAAAATTTTCTCAGCTACAACTTTGCTCAAGAACGTTTATATGTAAAACGAGACAGGAAAAAGTTATTAATTATTTAAGAGATTGGTAAACTTATGACATGATCATTCAGCTGCTCTGTAGGCAGCACTGTATTTTGCAGTGTGACATAGTAGCCATGATTTTTGTGTCCTATTCAACGCCCCAGAAACACCAATGTTGCCTGCTGAGCAGTTGATTGAGCATGATCATAAGACATCAGTGCATTGAACCATTAATAACTTTCGATCCTTGCATTTAATCAAAAAGTAGTCTTCAGCAAAATTGTAGCTGGGAAAATTTGTTGAAATCTTTTGAAGCAGACCGATATGGTGAATTATTAGATAGACATGAACAAAAATCTTGGTTTAACCATAGTAATTCCCATACAAACTTCAAATGGCTTGTGCGATCTCAGTTTCTCACCAAATGGGTTCAAATTTTGAGAGGCTAGTCAGGATCCGATTTGGAATTGTTTAAGTATTGTGGAGCGAAAATTTCAAATTTTGCATCGCCTTACTGGATATATTAACTTAGTATTGTAATGAGGCTTGGGTTTTAACCCATGATATTCTATTCATTGAGCAAAAACAGTTGCTCTTATGCTATATTATATTACCAAAATCTACGACCGACTCAACAAAAAGTTATTCAAATGAATCGACGTCTCAGAAAGCAGCAAACAATGTCTTCCAAACTGGATCACGCATACACCCTTTCATGGTCAATTCATGGTTTAAACTATTCAAATTTTGGTTAATAACTGCGCTTTATACTCTCGGAACCCAACGATGGTGGTTTATTCTGTTGTGGGAGAGCTTAGGATTAAACCCATGATATTCTGCTCACTAAACTAAACTGATCCCTCCAGGGTTATCGAGCATCTCACAACCACAACCCTCCACGACAAAATATGATTAAGTTTTCACTTGGAATGTAATGAACAACAGAGATACGCTATAATTAATATAGTTTCAGCGGCTGATGGTTAGTTTTAAATATACTAACGGTACTGCCTACGGCGACTATGACGGCATTACAACGGCAAATACGACGGCACCTACGACGGTAAATACGACGGCGCTTACGACGACGACAACAGCGAATTTGTAACTTACCATTTATCTAGGATATAACACCTTTGCCCGGCACCTCCACATTGCAGCGGCTGGATTTTAGCGGCTGGATTGCAGCGGCTGGATTGCAGCGGCTGGATTGCAGCGGCTGGATTACAGCGGCTGGATTGCAGCGGCTGGATTGCAGCGGCCGGATTGCAGCGGCTGGATTGCGGTTGTCGGATTGCGGTTGCCGGATGGCGGTGGCTGGATTGCAGCGGCCGGATTGCAGCGGCCGGATTGCAGCGGCCGGATTGCAGCGGCCGGATTGCAGCGGCCGGATTGCAGCGGCCGGATTGCAGCGGCCGGATTGCAGCGGCCGGATTGCAGCGGCCGGATTGCAGCGGCCGGATTGCAGCGGCCGGATTGCAGCGGCCGGATTGCAGCGGCCGGATTGCAGCGGCGAGATTGCGACGGCGAGATTTCGATACGAGGCCAACAATGGAGCACCGTGATCGACGCACTATCGACGCGATGGCCGAATGGTGATAGCCGAAGCGCGATGGCCGAATCTCGATGGCCGGATAATGTTGGCCGGATGGCGTTGGCCAGATGATGACGGCTGGATCCTGATCGGTTAAGTCATCTAACACCGTGATCGACGCACTATCACCTCTTTTCCGAACACGTTTTTTCCTAGTCTCTAAACACTCCTCGTGTATCTCCTACTATATCGTACCACAGTCAGCAAAATACTGCCTATCCTCTCTACCTCTCGGCCAAACGATCTCTCACCTCCTTATCGACTCTCAGCTTCACCGTAGCTAGTTTCCGTCTCTCACTACGCTATGACAGGTCGGTGGTGGTTCAGTGGACAGTGGTCGCTTCGCCCATGCAGCAAAACATCTCCATCATCGCCCTACCTTATCGGTCACTTTAGACGTGACGTTATGGAGCTATCTCTCTTAACAACACTGACCCTACTCTTACACCAATTGAATCAAATGGTACCAACCGGTAACAAACATATGTTGGAAAAAATATCAAGGGATACCCAATAGACGAAGGCAATTTGAAAATTCTCACCGTGAAACACTTGAAAGCTCCATCATTTTGATAGTTTTTATTTTTGCCACGAGCGCCACTTTCTGAACATGAATAGATAAATTTGAGCTGCAGTACCGACGCATCATACAAATTTAGGCTAGGATTAAAAGCATATTACTACCAAAGCGCATTTGTTCGAAATGATGTCCAGCTCACTGTAGTACCGCTATACTCCTTTAATCCAGTACCACAATCATCGTACTAGATTAAAGCAATACAACCGTATAGGCCACAATCACAATGGCTGTCAAAAGTTTAACTGTGGTAATTATCAAATATTGTTCCATAGGGGAGAGTGGGCACACTTGATTTGGATATATTTTGGATATATATATATCAGTGGGAAAATTCAAACTTTATGTGGAAAAATATCTTATGTCACTTTATAAATACTCTACAGCCTCCAAAGTGTTATATACTATCTCAAATGTACGTTTTTTTCTGTAAAAATTTCCAAAAATGCATTTTGAAAAAAATTGGTGCGAATTGATCCCCTATTGATGGTGATTTTTTGCATTTTTGCAAGGGAGATTATACTCAGGGACCTTTCATTTTAATTTTGTTAAATACTTTCTAGCTTCTGACATAATGTTCGGCATAAATCTTTGTAAAAATCATTTAATCTCAATAAGAAAATTTATTTTTATTTTCCCAAAAAAAAACGATGTATTTGATTTAAACCACGACTTGCATTTATTGTGTTTCTCTTGTATATTTATTTATATCGTATCCCTAACATAATTTTCTATCAACATATTTTACTCTCTACCGTCGCTTTAGCAAATGTCATCAGACTTCGATTCCTGGGTTTCACCTGTATCGTCTCGGCAGTTTAGTTTTTAGCCAACTAAATTACTCAATTTGAAAATACTTTTCTTTGGCGTGATTGCAGCTACCACTTCGTGTTAGGCATTTTTTTTTAATTCAATAATCATTTAAATACCAGCAAATCAAACCGTACCAAAACAACACACTGCAAATGTTTTCATATTTCCTCTTTGCAGATGCGGATTTCTGCTGCGGTATGCAAACACCGGAAATGGCAAAACATATTCCCGATACGCGCGTTCCAGGACGTCCCCAGAATCGCGGTCCGTTTGCAAAGCCTTTTTACTCTCTATACTATTTCCATATACTATGCTATCGATTTTGTTTTAAATTCTTCGACGAATTTTTGCGCTCTATCCCATCACTCAAAATTATTCGATTCATGTTTTCTTACGAAACTTGCTATCACACTCACGAAATTTCAACTAGGTTATGTTGAAAGTAATTTTCAACCCGTTCTTCTTCTTCTTATTATTCTTCTTCTTCTTCGTATAAGTTTCCATTTGTTTGTATCTCTAGTTATTCTATTTAAAAAAAAAACCTTCTCTACACAATAATAATTTGTTCTGTTTACGTACGTCTACCAACTAGCTCTATGTTTGAGTTTATGTAGCTCTCCGAACATCCCAGTTTCCATGAATATAAAAGTTCTCTGTTTCTTCACATAGATTGTGAATCTGTTTGCCATTTCAACTGATGTTAAAATCGTTTAAACCTAGATGTTCGTTTTCTGTTTGTAGAGGAATGAATCGTATTTGTCTGTGTGTTGTGCTTTCTTTCCACCCCAATACGAAACATTTTCTTTTGTATAGTTTATCGCAAAGAAGTTGACAGTCTTACATTTTATCTGCGAAAGTTGTGTAAATACATATAAAACCATATTCCAGCTTTAGTTGGCCACATTTGATTATATTTTATGGCCAACATATTTAACCTGTCTTCCAGTTAACTATGAATTGTTACCTAAACTCGATCAAAATACCGTTTCATTGTGAAGAAAGATATGAATGGCATAAAGTTGCACGTTATCAACCAGTGAATCCTTTTCAAAATGTACCTCATTAGGCACCGTCGGTGGTCTACCATATGCCTCCAATTAAATGAATTTTCTCCTGCGGAGCAACGCTACAATGGAAAAGTTTAACTCTTACAACATCGCAATTTCACCTTTTTCTCTGCTCACCATGACCCTGTTCCCAATAGGTCTGAACAAATATTTGATTCAATGAGGCAGGATGGAATCCTGGGTCAGTGTTAAGGGGTTTTTAATTTGGTTTGAAGTTAATGATAATAAAATTATAGGTTACCCTGAGGGGATCGTTAATATACAAAATTGGAAGAGTAAACAGCATTATTTCGTAGAAAGGTTTATCCAGAATGAGTAAATTTGATGAGAGATGATAAATTTGGTTTGATACTACAATGAAGGTGGAAGCGGGTGCTGCATGAAGTTAATTGGCGTGTTGTGATGACTTATTTATTACCGATTGAAAATTCGTTTCGGCAGAGGATCTGGCGAAAAATTTGCAATTTGATTGCCTGTGATGAAATATGTTAATTTCCCAACAGCTATTACAGCCTGAGCAGAGTCTGAGATTAAATCAAAAACTAACTTTGATGTTGTGTTATTTTTGATTTTACTCACTCAACCAAAAAATTGAAAGCAACACATCTAGTACTGTTTTCCATGAGAGCTAGTTAAATACTCTTTTAAACCTGAGTGAGAACAAAAATAGCAATATTTTCCAATTTTATTCTATACGTACAGTGAAACTTAAACAATTTGGATTTACTAATCGTAAGCTTGTATCAAATTATGATTTCAATTTAAAGCAGAAAGCTAAACGTATTTTCATTTTTCTACCATAATTTAAGCATCAACGACTTTGCTCTGGATGCTAGAAGTCAGCAAGACGTAGGCAGGTTTCGAAATAGAGGAGGAGATACAAAATGTTACAGATGTTAGGCCAAATGTGAATAGATAAATCATTTAACCGGAATTAAAATTTCTGCCGAACTTCATAAGTGCTTTCAAATTTGCATGGTGACCAGTAAATATCAATTGAGTGGGGAGGGGAGTTGGGCTGACGTTTCTTATCGATACATATGGGAAGGTGGGTTAGTGGAAAATGTTACGAAACAGATTTAACAAACTAAAAAAAAAATCAACGGTTTTAAAAATTAATTAAATCAAATACGTGACCCTTGTATCTAACATAATAAAAAAATACAAACTGGATTTTATTCAGTCTTCAAAAAAGAGGGGGTTGAGTGAGTTATGGACAACCCACATTAGATCGGTTTGCGTTGCGTTGCCGTTAATTTGACAGTTAGACAATAGATATAGTTGTCACTTTGCCACAACGCATCAGATCTGGATCTAAAGTGGGTGGCCCTTTAGAGATACGTAATTAACGAAAGGAAGGCTTGTCAAGTTTTACTTATTCACTGTGTTACAATAAGCATGAAAAAATCTGTATTTTATGCTTTACGTAATTAGTGTACCGTGACTAAATTAAATTTGGTTTAAATTGGTTAAATTGGGTAAACAATTCAGAATAACCATGCCCAAGTAACATTTTAAGATTTATTGTAGTCTATTGGACGCATTTCACGCCAAATCGTATTCGGAGCTGGCAGCACCCTCTCAGATTTCAATGAAACTTTCTGGATGTGTGGACCTTGACTAAATATGCCACTTTGCATACTTACTTTTTCCAAAATTTAGCTAGACTAACATTTGAGAAGGGCCAAACTTTTTCTACCGATTTTTTTCAAAAAAATATTATGAAAAAATGACGATCCCTTCAAAAATGTGTTGTGTGGATGACTTTTAGGAAATTGACCAAATTATCGAAAAAAAATACTGAAAAAAAATCATTTGAAACCTACACTGAAAAAATCGATTTTTAAAATTTAAAGTCGATTTAAAAAAAATTACCATGTTTGATTTGGATGAAAGTTTGCCTCAAGATAAGTAATTATGTTTACTACCAACCATGCATTGCGAGATGGAAACTTTTAAGGAAAAAAAGTTTTTCTTACAAAAACTTTTTCATGTTTGAACTGATTTTTTTAACGTACCATTTTTACACAAAACTAAACCAGTGAAACTCAAAATCATCTCAGTACCCAATGAAGCTCCATTTGTGATTCAATTTTGTCTAATCAGCAACTAATCACTTGGATTAATCGAGAATTCCATATGAAAAGGGCTTATATCATTAGAAAATAATATAATTGATTATATTGTCTACTACTGAGGCAAAATCCGATACTCCTATAGCAACTTAGAATTCTTAGCTCAAATTATCCATAAAGAATTAGCTATGAATAAAATTTAAATTGAGATCTTCTTTCGAATCAACAACGATTTAGGAAGTCAACGTATCGCATCATAATTCTATATGCCCTTCTGTTATTTATACCTAAACCATTAACATTATATACCTACCACTTTATTCTACCTATGAGCACTATAAAACTAAGATTGATTTCATACAAGCAGCAGTCAATCTGATAACGAAAGTTGTGAAAGCAAGTTGTAGTAACATTTTTATTATAGACCAAAGTAGTAAATTCAAAATTGAAATGTTGTGCAGCTGTATAGAACCTCTTTAAGAGCAATATTAAATCCATGCAATTTTATAATGCTCTGCTGAAAATCAGCTATAAATCCAGTTTGATTTTTTATTGCTTGACAACAACTGCCATAAATTAGCTTGTTGATGTTCTGTTCAACTAAAACTATAACAGCAGTGAGCCAGAATGTTTTTTTTTTTATTTGGAAATATTTATCCGTGATAAAAAGTTCTAGTGTTGGTGTCAAGATCGTTTTGCATTTAAGTTTGTTTGATGGTGGCATTACTAAAAGATTTAAAATAAAAAGTGACTTATGCCAGCATTTTTAGTTCTAATGCATATAGTCTAGTCTAGTCTAGTCTAGTCTAGTCTACACATACACAGCCAGTACTTGAAAGAATCCTGGAAAATGATACATCTATCATTTTTCTTGTCATTATTAATGCCTGCTGCACATCAAGGATGTGAAACAAACAATAAAGCGGCCAGGCCTACTGTGTAGCGTTTAGTTAATTTTTGTGGAAGTGAATGTTTACCATGTCTACTTAATAAGTCTAGACAGTGGTTAACATTTAATCCACAGGTAATCAAAGAGCGGGGACATACCGTACCAACCGCTCCGTATGCAGGATTTGAAAATAGGCTATATAAATCGTTGGGAGTGACAGAGCTAAGAAAGTTAATGTACACTTCTTGGTTGTCCGATCTACTGGGATGGAACACAGGTATTTACCCCTTGTGTTCGAGCGTACAGTCCTCCCTCCGTACAAGCGTGGACGGCACCGCCAACCCACTGCCATCCCTCAATCGATCCAGCCGACCTCAGTCGAAGGACAACAGAGAGCGGTGTGCGGACGTAACCTATACGGAGGGAATGCTGTATTCGCCTAGGTTATAGCGCCCTTGCTCGCTACCATTTTCTTCTAGCGGTTGGGACCTGAGCACTAACTCTTGTCCTAGCCCTATATGGCATATGGTTATAGCGCCATTACTCGCTTTCTGAAAAGAGAAGAAGGGAAGGGAAGGAGAGGAAAAGGACTTGGGAAAAGGAAATGCGGAATTCCTTTCCTCATTAGTATTTGTATCGTCAACTTTTATGAAAATTATATAAATCATTTTTCCTTGGTCAGAGGTATTATTACGACATTTTAATAAGATTGTCTTATCATTTGTTATTCAAAATTTAATGTTATAATGATCAACATAGCTTTGGATTATCCAATATAATTAAAAAAAAAACATTTTTTTAGCTGAAATGAGTATTTGCAACCTTGTCATACAGATCTGAAAATTAAATCAGTAGCTTGCTTCTCTGCATCAGACATGCTTAGACGGCTTAGACTGACTCCACAAATCAATGGTTGCTACTCCGTGATTGGCCAGAATCAGTGAAATTGCACAGTGAATGGGGTTAGGAGTGACCGAAAATTCTCATTGTAGGGGAAATGGCTCTAATGTTGGCCTATGGGTTTAAGATTAGGCCCATAGCTAAAAATCTGCTTTTTATCAGTTTTATCTAGATGAACGCGTCATTGGGACGGTACTAATGGATATTTTTGATCGCTATTGAAAATTTAATCGATTGCTGAATTTATGTATGGGCCCAAATTAGGGTCATTTTTGCCGACATTGCATCCATTTCCCCTAAAAGTTTCAGTGACTCCTTATATTAAAGATCAAT